ATCATGTCGAGATTCAAAAAATCTCTCCAATACCAGCCAGCCGGAGGAAAAATCACTTCAAGGATCTTACTAGGGGCAAGCCACCTCAAGAGCATAAGAAGTCAACCACTCTCGAAAATGGTTAATCAGGGGCATACAATTTGCAAACTCTAGGGCAAGCCAGATCGAGATCTTCTATGACAAGGTTGTTTTATAACTTGTGACTAGGGCAATTCATGCAAATACCCAACACACTAGGGCAGAGACAGACTACGAAAGTATAAGTTCTCTCCTTGTTTTAAGGTGGTTAGGCAAGTACAAAGGTGTATCAGCAGCCGTTGAGCCTGAAGTATGTGCCGAATGTTAGACGATAGGCTTCGATCTAGAGGGGGGGGTGAATCGATCACAAATTTAGAACCAAACACACTTGGCCAAAATTTGTTTTCAAAAGTATGACACAATGAAAACAACCCGAATCACATCGTCTAACCGAACCTACTATCGAAAATATCAGATACGAGTAATGAAAACTTATGGAATATAATGAACATAAATTGTTCAATCAACAATTAATTCACAGGTCAATCATATGCAAAGCTATTCGTAATGCTTATTTCCAACGAACACAAAGCGATAAAAATACTCAAAGACAATTTATAGAACACTTTGTGTGCGATTGATCACGTTTGGAAATTCGATTTATTTTGTTGATGTAAAAAGCCAATCACAATCAAAGTGGTTATGATTATATCAACAACAATAATTTAAAAGATAGTTGAAAACAATTTCCAATCGAATTAATCAAAACAAAAACGAAATCGATAATTTTCAAGAACAAGAATTAAAGAAAATTAAAGTGATAAAGAGGCACAAAGATTTGTTTTGGTAGTTCCCCAATCGGCCTCGCTATGGGTACATCTGCCCTCAATCCAAAATTGAATTGAAATATTTGCAATTAACCTTATCTTTGAAAAAATATTTATACAAGAGGTGAAGAATTCTAACCCCACAAACCTTATTGTTTGTTGTTGATTCAACCACCTTCAAACCCTTGATCAAAGCTTGATCAAGTCACCAATAATGCGACTATAATCCTCCGATTTTCTCGAGTACACACTTGTTAAACACAAGATTCCCAAACACGATTCACCGTCTCGCGCTACTCCCCTGCAAGGAAACCACCTTGTCTCAAGGCCTTCACTCGGCCGAATCCGTGTTGACTTAATCTTGTCCAAAACCTTCAAATCACGCCGATCTTGAAGGAAAACCCCACTTTGGTTTTCTTATATGAAACACACAAAGATCCCAACCTAATATTCTCAGTTACACCAACCTAATTGGACATTATCAACCCTAATATAGATGGTCACCCAATAGGAAAATGATTATGTGTAGTTCAATTGTGTGTATGTATAGAAGAGAGGTTAAAGATGATGGGAATGCTTTATAATCTGGTTTCATATAGGTAATTCACTAGTACATTGCTAGATAAAGGTGCATGTATGAGTAAATATATGTGTGTGGAATATAGGTAAAAAGAATGCAAAAAAAGATGCAATACAAAATTTTTGTTTTTGAAGGCTATAGGTAGGTCTATGAAAGCAATAGGTCGACTTGTCAAGGTCTTCAGGTTGGCCTGCAGAAGACGACCTATGGACATAATCCACGGGCTTCATTCTTGGAGCATGGGAGTCAACCTGTAATCGTATGTGTCGGTCTGCACTAAAGTAAAAGCTTATATAGGCCGGCCTGAGCACATATAGGTCGACATGTGCAACTGTGTTTTCACAATAGACTTGGTTTTTGATGTGTAGTTCATGCCTAAGGCTTTTCAAAAAAAATTGTATGCATCCTAGGACAAATTATTTAATGCACATCTAAATTTTGGTTGATACCGTCCAATATGCAAAAACACTAAGTCTAAGTCTCACTCCTAGTTTTGACATCATTTAAAACATTGTTACGTTGAAGAATTCACTCACACCGGAGAATCATGTCTTCATAACCCTTATCCTAGCCTCAAATTATCCATCTCTTGCCGCATGAGCATTTGAAAACCATGGATTAAATCATCACCATGCATTAATCATGTCTCTTCACTCGTGCATATCATCGCATTCATTGAGCATATCATGAAGCTTTGCAAACAAACAAGAAAAGCCAAAGCCCAACCTTGCTTAGCATTCCTAAAACCCAATCATACTTGGCACCTCCCTAAAGCCCAACCTGCTTGGCATCTCTTAAAGCCCAACCTTGCTTGGCATCCTTAAAGGCCAATCATACTTGACACCTCCCTAAAGTCCAACCTGTTTGGCATATCTCAAAGCCCAACCTCGCCTGGCTTATCTAAAAGCCCAAATTGCTTGGTATCCCACAAAAATAATCCACATTGCTGCATAACATACATAATTTCATGGCTCATGAAAAATCAAACATACATTGCATATATCACGACCATCAAACATTTCTCTTGTAACTAACATTGTTTCCCCAACAAATATTCAGTCAACCCCCAACAGATGACCTTGCACACAAGGACACTCCTCCATTCCATATCAAAAAAACCCAAATCATTACACTTACCTTTGTTTTAATACATGAATTCTCAATGGGAATTTTTTTTGGATATTCTGATATTTAATCCTCTTCTACATCGAATGCTCAAAAAGCTATCGCTGTTCATACATTCCGGTCTAAGATGATTAAATAGGGGCATCTGTTATACTTCAAAATTTACCTTTTTTTCTTTAAATTTTGCCTGGCTCATTGCTCATTTCATCTGCATAAGCATACATCATACGATATTCATTTTGTATTTTTTTAACACATCATTGATTCAAAAGTCTTTATTTAAAGAAGCAATGCATTGGTTTATGATTGGTGAGATTAGGTCATTTAACATGTTTTGGTTAATACCTTGTGGATCAAGTCTCTTTGAGGTCCTACTCTTGTGGCACTAGCCTTAGATCATGTTAAGTTTGTTGGCCATTTCCATTAGCATTTCATTCAAGAGGCAATTCATAAAAATAAGGTCATGTTCGCTAGTGCTTCGGACACCGGTTAAAAATTATAAATAAAATTTTTTTTATATGTTTAATTTAGTTTATTAAATATACACAAGATTTTTAAAAAAAGTTAATTATTTTTATTTTTAGTGCATTAGATACACGTAATTTAAAACAAAACATATATTTTTAATTTTTAAAAATACTCAATTTACCTTTTTAATCTATTAACCAATATTTAAAAACATTTGTTGGCATTTCCTTTAAAAATATTTTTGCAACTCGCCTTTCGTGGCTGATATTAACCCTGTTATAAACTACTCTCCACACATAAGCAAATTTCAAGTGGCGTTAGAAATATACATAATAGGTTACTTTCATTTCTGTTGTTATTATATTATCAAATAGATGTCATAATATTTATCTAATTGTCTAAAGCGATAGTTTTTCATAAACTCAATTACAAATCTTCATATATAATCACTAATGAAAATTACTTTTTATAATCCTACAATATATTTGATAGTAGTATTAAACTATTACTTTAAAAAAAGACCACAAATATTTATAGTGGCGGATAAAAAATTATAAGGGATTGATATAAAATACATATTAAAATAAATTTAAATAAATTTTATTTATAATAATAATAAACAAATAGAGTAAAATTTAACTATTCTATTTATATTATATAAATTTTTTATGTTAAAATAGTTGTATTTTTTATATTTTTATTATAAAATATGAGTTCAACACGTGAATTTCATATTTTTGTTTAAAAAATTATTATTAAAAAATTAATAAACGATTAAAAATAAGTTAAATTCTCGTGTTTCATAAATTTTAAAAAAATATACATCAAAATTTAATATTTTAGACAGCGAAAATAACACATAATCATCCTACCAATTAAATAAATTATATATTTTAATTTAAAATTTAAAAAAAATTGAAAATTTTGAGGGGACCATGGTCACCCCTCTTACTATGATGTTCCGCCATTGAATATTATAAACAATAATAAAAGACAAGACATATATATATATATATATATATATATATATATATATATATATATATATATATATATATATATATATATATATATATAAATTGTTATGTATAGTCAGTATTAAAAGTTTTATATTATTAATAAATTACAATTACGTTAATATTATTTTTTAAATAATTAAAATAAAAATAAAACCTATTAAATAAATTAACGGTTATAATTAATGAACAGTGTAAATTTTTTTATATTTTTCACTATATATCAATTAAATTCTTAACTTTAATAAACTATTATCATAAAAAAATTACTCGATCAACTAATAATAAATTACTCTGTCTATTCCAACAGAAACACCCTAGCTGAAAATTTTATAATAATTGAAAAAAATAATATACAAATAAAAAATAATTTTATAAAATCATTCTTATCAAATATTAGTTTATTCACAACAACCTTAATTATAAAATAAAACATATTGAATTAAAAAATAACAAAATAATTTCTAATTCCGATAAATTGTTACAATTAGATTTGATAGATAAGTGGTACTATCATTTAAACAATAAAATATTAACACCATGTTCAAATATGATATACAAATACATCAACTAGAATTGTACTATACTAAACCGTATAACACGGTTCAAATAACATTTTACATTATGCACACGTAATACGGTCGGTGAAAATGTATAGAAATAAAAAAAAAAGAAGAGTGAAGTGTTTAGGACAGGGGTAAAAGAGTCCTAACAAGAAAATAAAGGAAAATAGGAGTATGGGGAATAGAGGTGGAAAAGTATAGTAAATAAATTGACAATAAACACAAGACATGTATTAAGTTAAGTGGCTATCACTTCCCATTCCTCCTGCCTCACATCACACAATACACAACAAATACTCGAATACACATTCACACACTCTCTCTCTCTCTCTCTCTCTCTCTCTCTCTCTCTCTCTCCGCGTCATTCCCTAAAATCACAAAAGTTCTTCAATCGAATCCAACAATGGCTCTCCGAGTAACAACCCCTTTCCCTACTCAAACTTCCTCCTTCTCCCTCCCTCCAATGGCCAGCCTCAGATCTCCCAAATTCGTCATGGCGTCCACCCTCCGCTCCGGTTCCAAGTCAGTCAGATCCCTAATCACTTCCTTCTCGTTTTCATCGCTCATGTTCCGTTTCGTTACCGCATCTACAGTTTCAATTTATTTTTATCTTGATTTTCATTAATTAATTTCTCATCGTGAATGCTGATTTTAGATTATATTCAATTGTTTTTTGATTCGGTAAAGTGATGGTTAGGGTGGTTCGATTGCATTCAACCTTTCCTTTTTGATTCTTGCATGTATAGGCTTGTGGTTGGTGAGGATATTTCGGAGCCTGTTTGGTTGAATGATTTAATTTTTCTTACCAGAATTATAACAATCTCAACAACTTATTCATATTCGCAACGTTCTTTTCAATTTCTTTCTTTCTTAGATGAAAACAATTTGTGATTAAACATATTTTTTTTCTAAAAATAAAAAATAATGCATGTTTCTGTCAGTGATATATTTAATGATTTTGCACTATTTTTTTCTTATTGTCTTGTAATATTCTTAGCAAGTACGTAAACCTGAATTTTGTTTTGTTGATTGTACTCTATTCAAGGGTATAAACGCATATTCTTTTGGTGGCTTCACTCTATACTCAGTTTTGGATGTATTTATTTAATTCTTAGTCAAATAGGATCTTTGTGTGTGTAATCAGTTATCAATATGGGAGCTTGTTGGGTTTAATTATGTTCTACTCGATTTCATTTGAATTTTGATTAACTGTATGTTTCTTTATCGTAAATTCACGTGTATGTGAATTTCGTGAATGTTTACCACTTATGTATTATGATCGTCTTGTTGAAGCTGAACACAGAGAATTGGTAACACTTCTGGTGTTTTTGTTTGAATAATCTATGCATATTTAGTAAAATTGTCCTTTGATTAGCTTTACATACACGTTTTATGATATTGTTTGATATAAATACGGTATGGTGCTGTAATTTAGCTCTAAAAGTCATTTAAAATTACTATGCAGAGAGGTTGAAAATATTAAGAAGGCTTTCACGCCTCCAAGAGAAGTGCATGTTCAAGTAACCCACTCTATGCCTCCCCAGAAGATTGAAATTTTCAAATCTCTAGAGGGTTGGGCTGAGACGACCTTATTGACTCACCTTAAACCGGTAGAAAAGTGTTGGCAACCACAGGATTTTCTGCCGGATCCATCCTCAGATGGATTTGAAGAGCAAGTGAAGGAGCTGAGAGAGAGAGCTAAAGAGCTTCCAGATGATTACTTTGTTGTTCTGGTTGGAGATATGGTCACAGAGGAAGCCCTTCCTACATACCAAACAATGCTTAATACTTTGGACGGAGTTCGTGATGAAACTGGTGCCAGCCCTACTCCTTGGGCTGTTTGGACAAGGGCGTGGACAGCTGAAGAAAATAGACACGGTGATCTTCTTAACAAGTATCTTTACTTGTCTGGCCGTGTTGATATGAGACAAATCGAGAAGACAATTCAGTACTTGATTGGCTCTGGAATGGTAAGATCTTAGTCTTCAGCTGTTGTAGTTAGTTTCATAATAAATTACATAATCACACAAATTTCAAAAGAACTCTTGCATCCTTTAATATTAGTCATTATAATACAGAGAATCTGCTAAACATGTACACTTTGTTAACTAATGCATCCAAATGCATTAATGTTATTCTTATAAGTTATGTGTATGTATGAGTTACTAGAATAAGATCCAACTTTGTCAGAAATCATCACTAATTGATTCTTGTCATATTTATAATTCTTTTCTATCTAATTTTGGAATGAATTAAATTGATGGATAGGATCCTCGGACTGAGAATAGCCCCTACCTTGGTTTCATTTACACTTCATTTCAAGAGAGGGCAACCTTTATATCGCACGGAAACACAGCCAGACTTGCTAAAGAACGTGGTGATTTGAAGTTGGCTCAGATCTGTGGTCTGATTGCCTCAGATGAAAAACGACACGAAACTGCTTACACAAAGATAGTGGAAAAGCTGTTTGAGATTGATCCTGACGGAACAGTTATGGCCTTTGCTGACATGATGAGGAAGAAAATTGCTATGCCAGCACATCTGATGTATGACGGCCGAGATGACAACTTGTTTGATAACTACTCTGCTGTTGCCCAGCGCATTGGGGTCTACACTGCCAAGGACTATGCTGATATACTTGAGTTTCTGGTTGGGAGGTGGAAGGTGGCGGACATAACCGGACTTTCAGGGGAGGGACGAAAGGCACAGGAGTATGTTTGTGGGTTGCCACCAAGAATCAGAAGGTTGGAGGAGAGAGCTCTAGCAAGAGCAAAGGAATCATCAAAACATCAATTCAGTTGGATTCATGACAGGGAAGTACTACTCTAAGCATAATAAGAAGCTTATTGAAATTTCCAGCAACCCTACTTGGAGCAGTGTTAAATAGTTGAAGATTCAGTTTTTCATTTTTGTTTGAGGTCCAATGTTATATGTCACTGTAAGGTGAAACAATTGTTCTCTTGCGTGGTCTGTTAAGCATAAGCAATCAGGGGCAGCTGTAGTAATAGAAATGCTATTTTTTCTTTTCTTTCTTTACTTTGTGGTAGTGATCTTTTTTAAGTATAAGTGGACGTTTTAATGTTGCAATTTTGATGATAAAGAAAATTTAGTTCAATGGTCTATGCATGTGTGAGAAAAGTCCTTTCTAAGCATTTTTTCTTCTGCGGTGTAACATGAAAACTTGAGATGGTGGGACTGGCATTTGATATTATAGACTGCTTGCGGCTCACAGGGAAATAATTTGCTCTATCATATTACAGTTTCCTGATTTGTCAAAAAAATATACATAGTCGGTTTACATTGAATGTGCATATCATTTAGTTTTTAAATAAAATAGTTTTCATTTTGGTCATTTTTTGACATGTAGTCCTACAATATATAAAGGTGTTTGATTTTAGTTTCCATAGTTATCTTCGTCATTTATTTTTATCATTTATTAATTGTCGTTATGTGGCATAATGACACGCCACCAATTTCATGTGTCACATTGAAACCACAATTAAATGTAATTAAAATAATTTTTTACAAAGGCAAATGACGGGTTATGAACCTTAAATAAAGCTAAGTGGTTATCCATATTTCTCAAATTCCATTTTATTAGAGATAAAATACAGATGATATATATATATATATAATTTGAAATGACACCTAATTATTATGATATATAATTACTATAACTTATTTTAGTTTAATTTTATAAGTGTCTATCATTTATCCAATCTTGCCACGTCTCTTTTAATAAATTATGCTTTTTCATTCCCTTAAAATTTTGAACCAAAAAAACTTTATAGTTGTGCAGTTACATTTTTGACAAAATTCTTCGCGGCACCCAAAACTAAATTACATATAAGCATCTATTTCTCTTTTCTTTTTTAGGATGAATAAAAAGACCTAGCTTTTTTAAGCTTAATAAAAAGTAATTATATATTCATGATGAATATCAACACTCAGTATTTGGTTCTTTAAGCTTATTAAAAAGTAATTGTATATCATTGTCAATAAATGACATTCATTTTAGCAAACTAACATCAACAAAACAATACTGTTTTTTACAAAGGCAGATGACACCTTATTCAAGAATTGTGAACTTTAAATAAGAATTATCATATTTTTTAAGTTCTATTTTATTAGAAAGCTGAATTCAAACCAATGTGTATAAAAAAATACAATTCTTCACAGTATTTTGAAGTCAGATGATTATTATTATTATTATTATTATTATTATTATTATTATTATTATTATTATTATTATTATTATTATTATTATTATTATTATTATTATTATTATTATTATTATTATTATGAGAAGTAAATATCATATGACAAAACAGAAGAAAATTTTGTATTCTTTACAATATTTCGCAGTTACATTATTATTTGTAGGCACATTGACACTTTTACTACATGTAAAACCAATTTTTAAGCTTATTAAAAGGTAATTACATGTTCATGATGAATAAAAAGACTTGGCTTTTAAGTTTATTAAAAAGTAATTATATACCATTGCAAATATATGACATTCATTTTAGCAAACTAGCATCAACAAAACAATCAACAGTCCAACAATGTTGTTGAAGATAGTGTCTTAGATAGTGTCACATTTCAACAAAACAATCAACAGTCCAACAATGTTGTTGAAGATAGTGTCTTAGATAGTGTCACATTTCGAGATCACAATCAAATTAAAATAAAAATAAATTTTTTACAAAAGCAGATGACACCTTACTCAAAAATTGTGAACTTTAAATGAGACTTATCATATTTTCTAAGTTCTATTTTATTAGAAAGGACAGCTGAATTCAAACCAATATGTATAGAAAAATACAATTCTTCACAGTATTTTGAAGTCAGATTATTATTATTATTATTATTATTATTATTATTATTATTATTATTATTATTATTATTATTATTATTATTATTATTATTATTATTATTATTATTATTATTATTATTATTATGAGAAGTAAATATCATAGGACGAAACAGAAGTAAACATTGGACAGAATTCTTCATTGCATTTTGTAATTTATTAGTATTATAAAAATTTTTAACAGGATTCTTTACAGTATTTCGCAGTTACATTATTATTATTATTATTTGGAGGCACATTGACACTTTTACTACATGCAAAATCAAATTTTAAGCTTTTAAATGATGAATAAAAAGACTTGGTTCTTTAAGCTTATTAAAAAGTAATTATATACCATTGTAAATATATATATGACATTCATTTTAGCAAACTAGCATCAACAAAACAATCAACAGTCCAACAATGTTGTTGAAGATAGTGTCACATTTTGAGATCACAATCAAATTTAAATTAAAATAAATATTTTACAAAAGCAGATGACACCTTACTTAAGAATTGTGAACTTTAAATAAGACTTATCATATTTCTTAAGTTCTATTTTATTAGAAAGGACAGCTGAATTCAAATCAATGTGTATAGAAAAATACAATTCTTCACGGTATTTTGAAGTCATATTATTATTATTATTATTATTATTATTATTATTATTATTATTATTATTATTATTATTAGAAGTAAATATCATATGACAAAACAGAAGAAAACATTGGACAAAGTTCTTCACTGTATTTTGTAGTTTATTAGTATTATAAAAAATTTTAACAGGATTCTTTACAGTATTTCGCAGTTACATTATTATTATTATTTGTAGGCACATTGACACTTTTACTACATGCAAAATCAAATTTTAAGCTTATTAAAAGGTAATTATATGTTCATGATGAATAAAAAGACTTGGTTCTTTAAGCTTATTAAGAAGTAATTATATACCATTGTAAATATATGACATTCATTTTAGCAAACTAGCACCAACAACAGTCCAACAATGTTGTTGAAGATAGTGTCACATTTTGAGATTACAATCAAATTTAAATTAAAATAAATTTTTTACAAAAGCATATGACACCTTACTCAAGAATTGTGAACTTTAAATAAGACTTATCATATTTCTTAAGTTCTATTTTATTAGAAAGGACAACTGAATTCAAACCAATGTGTATAGAAAAATATAATTCTTCACAGTATTTTGCAGTCAGATTATTATTATTATTATAAGAAGTAAATATCATATGACAAAACAGAAGAAAACTTTGGACAGAGTTCTTTACTGTTAAATGTAATTCGTTGATTTGATTTGATATTATTAGATTTGATTTGAATATTTTAGACCTTTTATGTTTTGGAGTTTTGTAAACCTAAAACTATAAATAGGGTGGCTTGCGTTGTATTCAAACACAACATAGAACAAAATTCACAGTTGCAGTTTTATCAAGTAAAAGTTCTATAAGCAATAAGAAATCTCACAGTTGTGTGTAACAAATTCTCTCCAAACATTTCTTCTCTCATTCTTCTCTTTCTTGTTTGTTATTCTTCTTCTCTTTTGTTGTTTTTGATAATTACTTGTTATTACCATTACTATTATATTGTCGGCTTGTTCATCAATCTTAAGATTAAGATTGAAGGAAATTTTTCATAGGGTGTGAGGTGAGTTTCCAACATTTACTGTATTTTGCAGTTTATTAGTATTATAAAAATGTTCAACAGAATTCTTTACAATATTTCACAGTTACATTATTATTTGTAGGCACATTGATACATTTACTACATGCAAAACCAAATTTTAAGCTTATTAAAAGGTAATTATATGTTCATGATGAATAAAAAGACTTGGTTCTTTAAGCTTATTAAAAAGTAATTATATACCATTGTAAATATATGACATTCATTTTAGCAAACTAGCATCAACAAAATAATCAATAGTCCAACAATGTTGTTGAAGATAGTGTCTTAGATAGTGTCATATTTTGAAATCACAATCAAATTTAAATTAAAATAATTTTTTTACAAAAGCAGATGACACCTTACTTAAGAATTATGAACTTTAAATTATACTTATCATATTTCTTAAGTTCTATTTTATTAGAAAGAACAGCTGAATTCAAACCAATGTGTATAGAAAAATACAATTCTTCACAGTATTTTGAAGTCAAATTATTATTATTATTATTATTATTATTATTATTATTATTATTATTATTATTATTATTATTATTATTATTATTATTATTATTATTATGAGAAGTAAATATCATATGACAAAACAGAAGAAAACTTTGGACAGAGTTCTTCACTGCATTTTGTAGTTTATTAGTATTATAATTTTTTTTAACAGGATTCTTTACAGTATTTCTCAGTTACATTATTATTTATAGGCACATTGACACTTTTACTACATGCAAAATCAAATTTTAAGCTTATTAAAAGGTAATTAAATGTTCATGATGAATAAAAAGACTTGGTTCTTTAAGCTTATTAAAAAATAATTATATACCATTGTAAATATATGACATTCATTTTAGCAAACTAGCATCAACAAAACAATCAACAGTCCAACAATGTTGTTGAAGATAGTGTCACATTTTGTGATCACAATCAAATTTAAATTAAAATAAATTTTTTACAAAAGCAGATGACACCTTACTCAAGAATTATGAACTTTAAATAAGACTCATCATATTTCCTAAGTTCTATATTATTAGAAAGGACAGTTGAATTCAAACCAATGTGTATAGAAAAATACAATTCTTCACGGTATTTTGCAGTCAGATTATTATTATTATTATTATAAGAAGTAAATATCATATGACAAAATAGAAGAAAACTTTGGACAGAGTTCGTCGTTACATTTTGCAGTTTATTAGTATTATAAAAATTTTCAACAAGATTCTTTACAGTATTTCAGAGTTACATTATCATTTGCAGGCACATTGACACTTTTACTACATGCAAAATCAAA